TAATAACCCCCCCCCCCCCCACAATGCTGAACCCCAGGCTCCCGGACTGGCCTCTCTCTAGCTATACCGACTTCAGGACCTGGCAAATCCTGAAAGAAAAGTCAAGGAAAAGTTGATGAAAGTTAGACATCCAGGCAGTGTTCTGGCTAGCCTGAATTTGTTTCTCTCATAGCAATCCTAGAGAAGTCCGGGGGCATGCTCCCTAGGAACATTTTTACCCTCTGAAATGCTATTTCCTGTATTTTGAGGGGCTGGTAGACTAAGCTGGGTGTAACGACATCTCTATCCATATCTTCACACCCTGATTTTTGTCCATCAAAGTTGATGGATTGGACAAGATTTATTTCCGTCATACTACTAGCCTGTCGATGGGCCCTCCTTCCGCGATGTGGAGCTTTTAAAAATTTGAGCTAAAAAAGGGGCCATTTGAGGGATACTCAAAGGGAAAAAATATTATTTCTAAGGTATGTATCCTTGATTGGTAATTTTTCACATTTGATCTGGCATTCTTGAACAAAGAAATACAGCCACAATGCCCCTATGCTGTACATTGTATGTGTGTGTGTGTGTGTGGGGGGGATTTAGCGTAGGGGGTCAAAATTATAGCGTAGGGGGCCCCTACTCTACTTTGTGCTAGCTAGAACCCTGAGGCAGCAAAATTCCTGGACACTGGCTAGAACACTGCGTAAAGGCAAATCAAACTCTACTACTGGATAGATTACAAAAGGTACTGCAGCCTGAGATACAGTCAGTACTTACTCTGGCAGCCTCATCCACATGATCCAGGATGGAGTTTTGCCCGTTGCGGGATCCTCCTCTTCTGAATCATCCTCCGAATCATCATCATCGCTGTCCGCATCTCTCGCCGGCGCCATGGCCCGTAGCAGGATGCACTGGGACAGAGCAGACGCCCTGAGCACCCCCACGGCTTCCTCGTGGGTCAGTCCAACCAGGGTCGTACCATTAATGCTCACCAGGATGTCTCCTATAAAGAAAAAAACAAAAGTGATATTTATTGTTTATTACAGGATACACTGGGACAGAGCCGACGCCCTGAGCACCCCCACGGCCTCCTCATGGGTCAGTCCAACCAGGGTCGTACCATTAATGCTCACCAGGATGTCTCCTATAGGACAAGGACATTAGGTCAATCAACCAACCACACAGGTACAATATATGGCAATTTCTTGAACAGTACTCATTATCAAGACTAATATCTATGCTGTTGACTGTAACAATATACTATTTTCTATATACATGTAACTAAGACTAAACACTGTGTTATTTTTATATGATTTGTACAATGTACCGGTACAATATACAGGAACATGGAATAGATGAGTATGGATTACAAGTTGACATCAGTTCATTTTTCAGTTGTTGTGTTAGAAGTGATATCCTTTCTTTTGAGGAAAGCAGCAGAGATATGTTGGCCTATGAACAAGGACATTGCAGGACATGGCATGAGTAAATCAGAAACACATACACTGAATGAGATACACTGAATGAGTTGACGACAAGATGGTTAGCAGATCAGTTGTTAGAAAACAACCTGCTCACCTTTCCTGAGCTGCCCGTTTCCCCCTAAGCACCCATCGAGCTGTACGTTTGTCACGAACACGGGAACGTCGCCCCTGGTCCCGGCTCGCCCCCCCGCCACACTGATGCCCAGTGACTCACGCGCGCCCTTCCGTATGCTGATCAGCTTGTCCTGGAAATCAAATCAATCAAATCAAACTTTATCAGCGCTCGAAATAAACAGTGTCCCGATGGCCACTGACCACTAAAATTTAGGCCAGGACAACTAAAAAGACACTTTGAGACATTTTTGAGACAACAAGAAAATAATCAATATAATCAACGTTTCGGTGACCATCTTCCACAGGGCAGTTCTGACTGTTTCACATCGCACTGCAGCACAGGTGTCGCTGCTACAAATGCATTCCCAAATGCACAATATTTACATATTTACACTTATGGATGGTTACAGAGAAATGTATTGCCCTGAGGAAGGTGACCGACAGTCACTGAAACGACAGCTGAATAAAAGACTTGGTTGTGTAAAAAGAGTATCTTTACTCACACATAAAGGTAGTATGCACGGGTGTTCCTACAACAAGGAGTATGTACCTGGAAGGAGGGGGGGCGGGAGTCCTCCGGTGCCTTGGCCGAAGCGTCGGCTTCCAGCATGCCCTTGATGAGGTCCGGAGGCTGCGGTCTTCTCGGTCTGGATACGACAAAGTCAACCTTCTCTACACTGGCCTGGAATGGGAGCAGACACATGTTATAGTTTCACAATTTTACATTACCCAAGCAGCTGCCAACCAACTGTTAATGTCCGGATCAAACTACAGTTGTCCTTAACTATGAAGTATAAAGAAGTATAGAGTGGATTCAATCCTCAAGCTAACAACATATTTCACACCTCAGCCATTTGAAGAGAATGTCTCCAAACCAAGCACAAGGAAGGTGTGAAGAAGATGCCATGGAATAATCACCCCTGCCCCCCACTTCACACAGAAACAAGCGCAAGGACGTCATTTACATATATTTTTCAAGCCCTACAAGATGCTCAGATGCCAGAGCAACCAGCAAGAGAAGCAAAACAGCCAAAGGAGAAGACAAATGACTTTGAATGTGTTAACGAATGTGTTAACGAGAATTCTAATTATTGGAACACAAGAAATGTACCTGTATGAGTTCTGCAGCCTGTTCCGACGTGGCGTGTCTCACGTCCTGGCCGTTAATCTCCAGGATTACGTCGCTCGCTCGGAGTCTCCCGTCCGAAGCGGCCAGCCCTCCGTCCACGAGGTCTCGCACACACACCCCCGTGGTGCCCGGCAGTCCCGCGATCCTGATGCCCAGCTGCTCACCTGGACATACAAACAGATCATTGATACATGTATTACATAATGAAAATCCAACTGTTCTCCAACTGAAAGAAATTAGTCTTCATCAGCTAAATATCTGACTCAAGTACAGACGCCAAACATATGGAAAAATTATGTGTCTAGATAGCTAATGAAGACATAGACTCAGAGCAGATTGGTGTAACACTAACACTACTTCTTTCAGTGGTCAGCATGTGAAAGAACATAAACATAGAATTTATTGTTAGGTATACCACATTCTGTGTTACACCACTAATACCAGTAACTGTTATTATTGTCATTATAGTCATTATTCTTCAACCATCCTTACCACCTAGACTTCATTCTCTTTTTTTTTTTGCACTTTTTTTTTTATAACTTTCCTTTACCTGAAGTTTTACAGAGTTCCACCTTGATGGTTTCCTGTACCTCAGCACCTGTGGTCCTCTCCTCAGCCACCCAAAACAATACTTCCATACCAAAAAGTAACTATAACTTCCAGTTACCTGAGGTTTTACAGAGCTAGACCCTGATGTTTTTCTAAACTAAAGCCAGAAACATAACATAAATTTCCCTAGGCCTTACCTGAGGTTTTACAGAGTTCCACCTTGATGGTCTCCTGTACTTCGGCGCCTGTGGTCCTATCCTCGGCTACCCAAAACAATACTTCCATACCAAAACATAACTATACCTTTTAGTTACCTAATATTTTACTGAGCTTGACCCTTATCTTTTTTCTAGACTAACCGGAAACATGACATCGATTTCCCCAGGCCTTACCTGAAGTTTTACAGAGCTCCACCTTGATGGTCTCCTGTACTTCAGCGCCTGTGGTCCTCTCCTCGGCTACTCTCTCCCTGAGGATGGTGAGTCTGAGCAGGGGACAGGGTTTCCTCAGAACCCTGCAGGCCTGGTGGTGGGTCAGCTCACGAAGGTCTTCTCCATTCACCTGGGGACATACAAGCTGTGTTTTCCACTACCCGGTATCTTCATCTATCCCTTAGTCTTAAATTATTCGACTGTTGGGGCAACAATGGTGATCCAACAACCAGTTTTCGCCACCCTTCTCGGTTTTCGTTTGACTTAGTGTCCTGCTGGTACATTCTCTGATATCCTCCTCCCATTTTGACTTCACATGGTCTAGTCTACAGCTCTCTTTAGGCCACACCAATTTAATTTGTTGGTTCTCGGATTTGCCTCTTCATTTTTTCCTGACTTGCAAAAAAAAATTCAGAATCAACTGCAAAACGCTCATATTTTGCCCTGAACAGTTGAAAACAGTCCTTTTCCTGCTAGACGTTACAGTTATTCCATCTTTCAATGCAGTGGTATCATTAGAAGTTCAAAATTCATTGTTTAAATTTTGAACGAGCCTTTTGTGTTGACTTCATACCTCCTATCATAGCATTTGGGGCTATAATAGGATGCCTAGATCTGTTTTTATTTTAATTTTTTTTCGCCCTGTCGCTTCATATTTTTCCTGAAAAAGTCTGAGAACCAACAAATTAAATTGGTGTGGCCTTATTGTCACTTTAAGTCAAACACATTAATATATTAGTGTATGGCAACCAGCCCTTCCAGCTTTGTCCTGGCACTTGCTTCATGATGTAACCCAACACCACTACAATCCCAGTTACCGATGGTGAAAGCCATCTGGTCCAGGCCATTGACCTTGTGTGTATGCAGAAGAAGAAACAGAGCAAAAACACTATATTTTCCTTCTGTAAATGTAAAGATAAGGAATCTGACCTCCAGTATCTGATCGCCTGGCCCGATCCTTCCATCCGTGGCGATTGCCCCACTACTGAACACCTCCTGTACGATCATCGAAACCAGCGGTGTCTCACACCCCCCCACCACACTGATGCCCAGGTGCTCCTGCTGACTCGACTTTCGCACCTCGATGGTGGTGATTTCTCCCTCCAGTACAGGTAGTCTTGGAATGGCTGCAGGGGGGAGAGAATGCAGTAAGTACAAACTCCGTCGGTGACGGTCAGACATCCAGGTAATAAAATACACCAAAACAGTTACTCAAGCAACTGGATATGATTCTGGAAACGTTCAAAAACATATCCAGTTGCTTCAGTAACTGTTTTTTGGTGGAAGTGCAAGCTGCTTCATGCATGTATACTGCAGCACTTGTTTTTAATATTTTATAACAGCACCAGTCCTTCACATGGAGAAGATATCAATAAAGAAAGAAAGAAAATAATTTCTTTCATTTTTTCCCTACCACCAAGTAGAAGCTTCACACGCGTTGCAGCAGTTTCCTAAAGTTGGTAGGATATTTTCCCTTAGATAGCAAAATTTTTGGAATACACACTAATACACAGTATGCCATAAAGTAGCCACCAGATCCATATGATGACCTCAAAATACCCTCTAATTTAAAAGAATCCCACACTGCAGCATGCCTATAGCTGAATAAAATGTACATGACAAGGCTTGTTAGGAAGATAATACATTAAGGGGGTTAGTTGTGAGTATATGTAAGTAGCTAAACTTGTTGAATTCAGTAATACATGCACACCCTCATACAACAATGTCTTAGAACAAAGACAATACTGCATGAAACATATCAACAGGGGGTTAGTAGTAGTAGTGAGTCCATGCACAGGTGAGTAGCTAAGACAAGCAGGTGAGGACCTGTGATGCAGGTGACAGGTGTCCGCACCTGACGCATGTCCCGTATCGAGGCACAGGTCAGGTCATCGCCCTGTGCCAGCCCTAAACAGGGGTTAAAGGTTAAAGGTCATGCACATCGGTACAGACTCTTTCTCTAGGACGGATTCTGGAATAAAAACTACTCTTCTCTCTAAATGTGGCGTGCAATCTAAGGCATGCAGCTTGTAATCTTTATTTGTGCATGCCATCTACATGTAAACATATCATGCTTTACAATCTATTACCTTCAAGGCCTTCACACATGTATATACACATGATGTACTTAAATTGTTTTGAACGGGAGACAAAGTTTCCATGTAACCCATTATGAGATTTCCTATTTGGGGCTGGAAATCCCACCAGCATATGCACCTTAGTCTACCCACATATAGCTGTCCCCACACCCACACCCATACCCATACATACCGTTATACCTTTCCCATACTCATTCCCATATACCCACACCCATACCTATATATACCGGTATACCTGTCACCCATACCCATATACTGTCACCCATACCCATATACCGACTTACCAACACCCATATATGTACCTGTGCACACCCCCAGGGCACACTACACCGTACTATAGGTTGTGAAGGTGTTAGAACTTACTTAGGTGACCCCGTGTTCTATACAACCTGCTTTTAGTACCGTCTACTGAAAGAGAACAGTATCCAAACACTTTCAATGTAAACCTAGCCAAACTGTATGTTCTGCCAACATGCTTTGACGGTCTCACAGTTTTGCAGTGCAAAATCATCACTTTACACCAATAAATCTGATGAACTTGTGATCAGATTCATAATGAATGATTTATGAATGCCAACATCATGACTTTGACTTCTCTTTCACGCAAACAGTTATGTCTCTCTTTACGTTTTTATAATTATCAAACACCTTCCTCAGACCTTCTGTGGGAAGTCCTGACTGGAATGGAGTGCTGCTTCTCACTGCTATATTAGTAGCTGGTGAGAGACATTACCGGTTGTGTAAAACTAAACGAAAACTTTTAGATTATAATTTTATGGTCTACCAAGCTGATGAAATTATTTCTGTAATCATGAATATTGTATGTTCGTGTACTTACTTGAGATGTTGTATTTGTAAGTGGGGTTCGAAATACTGGGTGCATGTGCACCTTAGTGCACCCAAAATTGGAGCTGTGCCCCCATTTTTTTTCTGTGGGTCACTGGTGCACCCAAATATTTTGGTAGGTACATCTATTTTTGTACATATTAAATGTACAATAATATACATGATATTCTTAGCATCTAGGACTTAGTGTCAGAAAAATAATAAAATCTTTATTGTAGTACTTGTTTATTAAGATTTTGAAGTTAGCTCCAATTCAAGCTCACAAAAGGAGCAGTAAGATCTATAATTTTTGTTTTATATGGTGCACCCAATTTTTTAGGTTGGATGCACAAGTGCACCTATTCCCAAAAATGAATTTCGAGCTCTGTAAGTTATGTACTTACGTAGTTATGTACTTACTTGAGATGGTGTGTTTGTAAGTGCACTTCTGCATGTGTTCCTTCAGCGCCGCTGGCGTTCCTTTAAACCTACACCCAGCTGCCGCCCGAAGGCATCGCACTGTGGTTCCTTTACATCTGAAGAAAAAACAAAAAAAACATTGGGAACATTGAAATAGCTTTAAGTCTTCCAAGATGTACTTGGAATTTTTTGTAACCTTCAAGTTCACTTCTAAGTTCTAGTATACTTAGGTTTGTTTCATGAATCTATTGGAATGGAGGAGGGGTTGTCATTTAATCTGATATTTTTATTTATACCAAACTTCTGGTACAATCAGAGTCACATTCTTGTGTGAGTGTCAGGGTTCTAGCCAGTGCAGTTTATTGTATCAGGCCATCACAGCTATCTTTCTTAGAGTTAGATACAACAGAAAAAAATTTACCTGTACCTGACACCATTTAGAAGTTTGGATCATACTAGTACTACAAACATACCGGTAATTATTGTATTTCCTACATGTACATGGACCAGTGCAGGTAGACATCCGATTCAGAAATACAAGTCCCTGCACAGCTCCAATTTAACCTGCACTAATCCGCAGGTGGTATTTCCAGCCATTGCCTTGCCTACATGACAGAGGGATGTTAAACACTAATCATCACACCTCTTCCTGAGCAGTACTTGACATGCTCCAGATACAGTTTGTGCCTCCCTGCACCCAGTCAGGAGCCCTGGGCTAATTGGAAGGAGAACTGTCTGTACTTCCATCACCCGATCAGTCTGGCAAAACTCAGTAAACACTGGGGACATGGTGGGGAGGTGTGAACACACACACGGGACACTTAGGTTTAAAGGGACCCTCTGTACAATGTACATCATCATACAGTCATCATACAGTAAGCCTGGCGAGGCGGTAGCACATCAGCAGAACGTACTGCGCCTACACAAAACACAGATTTCTCATGGTTTGAACTTTTCATTGGATTGTTGGTTGGTCGACATTGCATCAGACTTTTGCCTGTTGTATAGGCGATATCTTTTCTGACACAACATTTGAAAACTATAGATGGGATGTCACCTTGAATATGGGACTATGGCCTGATATGAGATGTTCTGCCTAAGTGCAATGCACATGCAATACATTATGGGTTTCGTGCAGGCACAGTACCTTCTGCTGGGATACTGGTAACACTAAGTTACTGTAGGACTATTCTAAGTAAACATCAGGGAACGCCGTAGGGAAGTGTGAACACACACAGAGTACTTAAATTTAAAGGGATGGTCAACTGGGGAAGATGTGTTGAGCCAAGATGTCCAGACATCCAACATGTGGGGTCGTGTGGCGTAGCGGCAGCGTGCTCAACTCCGAAACCAAGAGGTCCTGGGTTCGAGTCCTGACATGCCACCGATCTCGTGCCCTTGGGAAAGGCACTTTACACGACTTCCTCACTTTTAACTCAAGTGAAAATGAGTATTGTCTTGTCCTGTATTGTATTGTCAGTGTTTAAAATTTGTAGTTGACTTGAATTTTTGAAACAAAGCTGTGTTATACACAGCACAGTACTGTACTACTAGTCATACAAGGGAGGCATTTTCCCAGAATTTGCATTGGAGCATTGGAGAGGTCACTGCAAAAATGAAACCAAGTTGCAAAAGTTCCACAATTTACAGTACAAAGTCTCCAACATTCAAGAATGATTACTGTAATTAACATGTTTGGAAGACAGGACTGTTGCAGTTTGAAATATTACGCAGGAATTTTTAGTGGTGTTTGGGAAAAATATAGGATTTTCCTGACATTCCAGTTGACCTAAGGAACGTGTTCTGAGCTTAATTATTGGAACTGCAGTGGCTTTAACTTTAAGTTTAACAACTGTTGCCTTTGTAACAGTGCTAACTGACCATGCTAAATGGTCGTGCGACCTTTTAGTGTAGTGGTTAGCGTTGGTGACCGCCAAGCGGACAACTCGGGTTCGATTCCCGGTTGTGACCTGCTCGCCCCTTTCGGTTTTTACACCTTTAACAACTAGGTCAGGTTTACTAGCTTTACTCTGCAGTGAAAACAGTGGATCCAGGCCAACTGCAGCCAACAACTGAAAACAAATCCTAAAATCCCTAAACAAACAAAAGCTAGACTTGCCAAGGTCCACACATACAGGCAAGTTCCTCAGCTCCAGGTCCAACATAGGCCCAGGTTTGGACAAGTTTTCAAAAATCCACTTGCCCTATTGGGCAAGTACAAGGTTATTTTCACTTGCCTGAACTAACTTTTCACGTGCCCAAAATACACATATTTCTATGCATTTTTACTACCACCCAGGAAATTATCTTATTTTGGACTTTATAATGTTGGATGCTTTATGTATCAAAATAAGGTGGTTTGACTTACTCCAAACACCACAGCAGGTATAATTTGCATCCAAAAATTTACTTGCCCAATCGGGCAAGTCTAGGGGCACATGCACTTGCCCGAACAGTACTTAACTTGCCCCTGGGCAAGTAGGCAATGGGACTTGTCCAACCCTGTTAACCCCCAAAGAAATTTTACAACAGACACCCTAGCCTCTATCTCAGGGTCTGTGGTTTTTCCTCGGGGGCATGTTAGCCTTGAAGCTTGTGTGTAGTCCTTGGCAAGACGTCTGGAATCCAGGCTACACTAGTCCCACCCAGGAGTGGAGTTTATACTACGTTCAGAACCATATCGTGTCAGCTATGTGCCAGGCATGACCCGGCATCTTTGCCTTGTTTCTTAGCATTCCTTCACACCAAGTGTACCTAATTTCTTGGGCCTAATTGCCGGCGTGGCATAATTCCAACAAAATTTAAAGCAAGATCTCAGAGATTTAACTTAATCTTAAGAAATCATGGAGCCATTTTGATATAAGTGACCTTCAAGTATACTATTTTTACTGTGTCTGACCTTTTGATGTCCTGTCATTCTGCCTGTCAATCTTCACCCACCCATGTGCTATCAACCTGCATTTAGTCTCAAGTTTGCCTATGTCTGACCTACTATTCTCTCTCAATCTTTTCTGATTTCCTCTTCTACCAACAGTACTTCTGTTCGGTCAGAGAGCTTTCAGTTTTCCAAGCATCCTATCAAGTTACACTGTTGAGTGTTGTAGGCATGTGAAATGTACCCCTCCCTCTGCGCCCTATTTTACCAGGGTCACTACATGTATGTCCTCCCTGTTCACTGAGTGTAATGTTCAAATAGACACACCGCAAGTTGTCTACAAAGCTAACTCAACTGGAAAGAAGAGGCCAAGCCTAGAGCAAACTTCATAACGTTTTACAAGACAGCGGCCATCAAAAGTTCACATACTACAAACTGTAGTACTAACATCTATGTCCATAATATCACCAGGGTCCATAATATTGCCACCTTGAGAAACAGTGTGCTTTAAGATATTTTTACTGCAACATACTTTTGGTATGCACTCCTGCACACATCAAATGTACATACCTAGGGTATGTTGCAGTAAAAAATATCTTAAAGCACTCTGTTTCTCAAGGTGGTGATATTATGGACCCTGGTGATATTATGGACACGGATGTTACATAAATGTGAAACTTTTGTGATGGCTTGATTTTAGTGGTAACCTCTCCATAAAATGAATTGTTTCAACTGTGAAATCAAAACACTGTAAAATTGTCACGATGTATAATTATTATGACCCTGCTATTTCAAGTTGCACTCAGAAAGTTACAAAGAGACTAACACTAGAGAATCAGAGGAATTCCTGCTAAAATAGAGATACAGCTGTTGTAGTATCTAGCAAATTGGGGGGTGGGGGCTGTGGCTATTGTCAAAATAAGTATGATAGACATCATGAGACATGTACTGTTTGGGACACTGTTGGCCCAAATACCTGCAGGACATATCTATGCATGAGTGAACAGACATGTATACAGTCTTATATTTACATGCCATTTCTATCAACAATTTGTCACTCAAAGTCTGACTGAGAATGTTGTACTGTTTTGGAACTTGGGTGGCTATTGTACAAGTATAACTTTCTTTCTTCAAGTTTGTCTTATAAACGTTTTGTCTATGTTGTACTGAATGATGTCCACTTTTGTATCCTAACTGTAACATGTCTTGTCGTCATGTCCTGTACATGCTGACATCCTTGGAAATATTTACAAATTGGATGTCAATCCTATTTTGTGCTGAAACAAATAAATAAATAAAAATGGATACACAACAAAACTGAGGATCTTACCTGTGTATAAGGTGAGCCTCCAGGTCCGAGCGTTGCATCGTCTCCGAGCACTTCTCACTGTTTGGGCAGAACACCACCAACTTGTCCAACAGTTTCTGCACCATGATGCTGGCCGTGCGACAGTCCCTGATGGTCAGCGCCAGCCTGTCTATTGGGCACATCTTCTTCATCTTCAGAAAGCCGCGTATGCACCGCGCGCAGAACGTGTGCCCGCATTTCGTGTCCAGAGGGTTGACGAGCGGCTGGAGGCAGATCTGGCAGGTCAGTTCCTCGTCCACCTCGCTGACGTAGTCGTACAAGTGGTTCCCGTTTCCCTCGTGTACGTGCCCGCACGAGCGACAGATCGCGTCCGATTTCCTACCGCTCATGGTTCTGGTGTACTGCAGTAGAACTTCCTCAAGAGTGGTTTTCGTGTAAAGTAGAACTTCGTGAATTCCTCAAGTCAAGAAGAGTGGTTTTGGTGTACTGCAGTAGAATGTTCCAGAATTCCTCAAGATGAGTGGTTTTGGTGCACAGTAGAATGTTCCAGAATTCCTCAAGAAGTGGTTTCGTGTACAGTAGAACTTCGTGAATTTCTCAAGAAAAGTGGTTTTTGGTGCACACTAGAACGTTCTAGAATTCCTCCAGGAGAGAGTACGAATCGCTACAAAAGTGGTTAGATAACGGCAGGGTCAGAAGACAGCAAGGTGACCCCGTTTAAATTTTCATGTCTTGGCAAACTGCAGTCTGCATTGCTGAAGTTCTCACCATCACTGTGTTCTGGAAGGAAGCCATTTCTCAAGGCCGGAATGCCCGGTTGGTGGATGTATGACTGCTGACAACCGAAGTCTGCCTAGCCGCAAGGTTATTTATTCCCTGAGTCCACTCACACCACTTTTGATGTGCTCTCACTGTGCGTTACACTTAGACAGACTCTGTAAAGAAAGAGATATTCACTAATCAGTCAGCTCATTTCTACCAGTAAATGACCACAGAATAGATACTAGTATAGAAATGCATTTAGCCCCATGGGCATGAACATGCAACAAATAAAGATTCAAAAGATATACAGATTCAAAGGTCCAAAGAAGAACGGCCGAGACCCACAGTAAAAGAAGCTCCCAGCCTGAAGACATCTGTCGTTAGGATGCTCTGCTGACTTCCAGTCACCCAGTACTGTAATCTCCCACTAGTGCTTCCTGTTTCTCCTGTCCGCCCTCCCAGGATGGTTGACCTCCCTGCTGTAGAACAAACAGAGGTCGCGTCAGCCTGTCTGTACGGACGACCTTGTAGTTTACACGAAAAGATGTGAGGGTCAGTGGGTTGTGTCAGCTTCTGGTCAATGCTCTAAGTGGTAGAAATACATTTTTTTCAGTGTTCTGCAGTATATTGCAGAATGTCAAAATATTGTCAAAAGTTTTAACTTTGAATGTGTATTTACCAACACAGGTGAACTTTTATGATATGTCAAAACATTGTTCTGCAATTCGAAAATACATTCTGCAAATACACACTTATATTATAAGCCCTAGCCTGATGTAAACCCATATGAAATTGCATGTTGGCAAACATTTGCAATTTGAAAAATACATACATTATTACCACAAAGTGTATCATGAAGTCAGTAGTAAACACTTCTGCAATATTGAAAATCTCTGTTTACTGACCGTGGGTTTCGGGTCACTTGAAGTACTGTAGATGGACAAACGCCCACTCAGACTGACCAGGCTTGCACAGGACACTTCTCCAGTTGTGACAACAGTACTGTAGGTGGGTGGGGGAGGGGGGATGAGTCAGGGGACTGGACTGCAGTATGGGCCCTCTGTGTCCTGCATGGAAAAGAGAACAAAGCAGTTTAAACAGGGGTTTTTCTAAACAGGGGATTATAAGTGAGCTGCTCCCTCATGTAACCAGCCAGCTCCCTCATATCAATTTTCAGATTGAACCCTTGTGAGTGTTACTCTTATTGAAAAATCCCCCCTCGGACACTTTGTTCCTTGCCATGCTTGCGATCTGCTCCCTCATACTAATTTTTTCTAGAGAAAACCCTGAGTTACTACTTACTAGTAGTTAAAGAAAATCCACATTCAGTGTGATAAACAAAGACTCAAACAAACAATCAAATAGCTTCCATGTAAAGTGCAATGTTTGTCAGTTTGTGGTAAGTTTGTAGCTACTCACTCCGGGAGTCCCTCTCTAGAGCTGTGTACCAGTACGCAGTACCGATACTGTACCGGAAAAATTGATTAGGTACAGGTCCAAAATACCTAATCCCTCAGTACCGGTACTGTACCTAAACAATTTCACACCAATTTTATGCCTATTTGTGACCTCAAATGTTTAAATAGCTGGTTAACAATGGGTGCCTGTGTAAGGACAGTGTGTTCATGAAAACAAAAACATCTTAGTTTTGCCTATATTTTATCTGAGCATTCGCCATAAACAGAGAATAAACCTTAACTATCAAGTTTATTTATGTTTTTTTGTTATTGAAGGAGTTCAGAAGAGCATATAAATTGGTCGAATTGTTCAGGTACAGGTTCAGGTCCGGACCTGTACCTAAACCTGTGTACCTGTACCTGTACCTAAAATTTGTTTAGGTACACAGCTCTATCCCTCTCCCTATTGAAAATCAAATGTTAGACTCCTGGAGAAAGATACCAAGTCTCTCCAGGTCAAAAACTTGAGAGTCCAGGCAAGTTGGAGCTTGCCTTTCAGAACTTCAAAACTGAGTCACTAAAAAGTAAACAAAGCAGCGCATGACAGTCATAATGGACATGTACCATCGGTTGGGTCAGGTGGCATTTTAGTTTGTGAACTGTAATGTGCTCTTTCAGTATCTCCTACCCCCAACCTCCCCAAAAATGTGCCACTGCTATGTCTAATTATAGTAATATGTACCTTGTGTATGACTTTGTTTGAAAGAAAATAAACATTAACCTAGCTTATAACGACTTCTCTGTTTGTGCCCTGAGGCTAAGGGCTTTTAAAAACGGATGGTTTGACCTTTAAACCTCTTTATCTAGACATTACAACATAAATTTTGGGTGAAAATATAGTGAGCCTATGATAGGAGAAATTGAAATTAACAGTACAGACCAGGTACAATTCTAGTTTTCTACCAACCAGTAAATATCATTCTATTTTGAAAAGACTTCCCTACCATGGTCAGGAGTATCAAGCACTCTTGCAACACCGGAAGGAGAAAGAGAGAGACAAGAAATAATGGTTGGTATGTTTTGGGTATGTGTCTGTAGTCAGTAATCAGATCTCCATGCCTTCAGGGCACTAACCAGAGCACAGGACAGGTTCTACCTGTCTGTGTACCTGTGCTTTATTCCACTTTAATAGAGACTGTGAAGACGTGAGTCAGTCAAAATGGGTCAGCAGATTATCGTACTACAGAATTGTTTCAAGTACAAAGTGACTAAAACATGACAGACACGAACACGGACACTTGCATCCACCAAATGGTCCTATTCTTTTTAGATAATGGCTGCAACATACATGTAGGTACGTGTATCTATACTCATGTCAGTAAGTCTGGTACGCTTTTGTACATGCTGACATCCTCTGATCTGGCCCTGAACCAGTATTGTCCTCCTGCTAAGTAAGTAAGTATAGCTGTTGACTGGGCCTTGAAGAGGGCCCTTATCCCCCTTCAGAGGGTAATACTAGAGTGAGTGTTTGGGGTATTCGAGGTCCCACCCCTTGCCTTTTTCTAAACACTGACAACCCCCGGCATTATATAATCTCCAAGCAAGCAGATGTTACGGTGCCACAAACGATAGTAATAAAACGGGCAGGCAATAGCCAGACAGTCCACAGAAACATCTACTTAGAGATTAGGCATTATCATGTTCCTATCTTCTCGTGTTTTACTGTGCCTTTGCAATGCATCCATTCTACAATGCGTGTGTAGTCTCTTTCTGAACCAGCATTGTATACATGTATAGTGTACATGTACTTATGTACTACTACCATATAACACACATATAACTTCAACAAAGCATTTACGTCTTGTTATTGTCACACTATTTGATGCAGTGCCGTGTTTTCATGCTGACTAGGTACATGTCTTACCTGTGTGTTTACCTGTGCCACTCTGTACAGACCTGTACCTGTATAGAACACATAGGTGTGTCCTATCTCGCGTGTTTACCTGACAGGTAAGGTGACTGCCCCGACCTTTTAAAGACATCACGTTTGCATAAGTCAGTATTGACGGAAGCTTAGCTTGAAATCCAAGCAGAGGTTGTTGGAAAAAATTGTGGCCTTTCCATTTCTAGTATATGCCATGTTTTCTGTTGTCACTCTCCGAAGGGTATATTATGATAACTCACAATATTCTCGACCAACCTATGCTAGTCTAGTAACCATTTTCTGCAGGTCGGTTTAGGGGTGTTTTCAGCCTTCTAAGCCGGTAGCGGATCATGGGGAGCGGACGAAAGCTAGAAAGGCTATAGCTAACACTCCGGCTATATGGTTCCAGCCATCCTTTTTGATTACTGCCAACCTGTAACCCTGTAAAAACTTCTGGTGCGTTCTAATGGGCCTGGGCTTGAGGGCAACACTCCCACAGTCCCAGTACCAAAGAGATACCGGGGAGGCTGCGATGGTCTGGCTACCAGGCTACTAGGTACCAAACACAGGCCATATTGTACATGAGACAAATTTTAGTACCTCCAGCACAGATCTAATTGCTAAATGTGTTACAGATGAACACACATGTAGTGATCTACATGCAAAGTGGCTGATAATACACAAATCCCCAGCTCAGGCTGGAATTCCAAGCGAGAACCCCCGCATTTTAAATTACACGGGGGTGTGAAATATAACACCAGTAGTAAATGTCACATTATCTTTGTTTCTGAAACAGTTTTGACATCTGAAACAATTGTTTATTCCTTTACTACTTAAAAGGAAGTTTGAGATTATAAAATGATATTTAACATTTCTGACACACCTTTTTCTTCTAATTGGGTACAAAGTATTTGGAATGTCAGCATCTCAGCTATGGTAACACCAGTAAGTAGAGCTGTGTACCGGTACGCAGTACCGATACTGTACCGGAAAAATTGATTAGGTACAGGTCCAAAATACCTAATTCCTCAGTACCGGTACTGTACCTAAACAATTTCACACCTATTTGTGACCTCAAATCGGTCCCTGTGTAAGGACAGTGTGTTCATGAAAACAAAAACATCTTTAGTTTTGCCTATATTTCATCTGAGCATTCGCCATAAACAAAGAATAAACCTTAACTATCAAGTTTATTAATGTTTTTTTGTTATTGAAGGAGTTCAGAAGAGCATATAAATTGGTCGAATTGTTCAGGTACAGGTTCAGGTCCGGACCTGTACCTAAACCTGTGTACCTGTACCTGTACCTGTACCTAAAATTTGTTTAGGTACACAGCTCTACCAGTAAGTATAGAAGATTACCACTTATCGCATCCAATTTCTGCCCTCTGGCAGAAGTTAGACCAGATATACCTGTACGTATATCAGGGCTACAGTTCTGAGAAATGGGGGGTAGGGTCATGGAATGAAAAACTCATCAGATAACTCAGAGATAAAGTCAAGCATGTATCACGGAACGGGTTTTCTGCGCGTGAAAAATTTGCGCGCGCGTGAAAAATTTGCGCGTGAAAAATTAATTTCCTGAAATATGTCAGAAAATGTATAGTACAAAATTTAACGAGAGGAAAAAGTGATCCCATGATATAATTTTCCATCTGTTAGCTGTGGTCTTTGCTTTAAAAACTACTGATTCTGTAGGTCCCCAGGGAATAGGTTACAGTACTTTGCAAAATTTAATCATTTGAAATCCACTCAAAGTTGTCACAAATACAAGAGATTTTTCCTAGTATAAGGTTTTGTATTGTATTGTAAGATGAGACAATATATGTTAGATATAACTTAAATTTCAGATGTTTTAATTTCAAGCACTGGTTCTTTCACGCGCATATTTCAACCTTTTTTGCGCGTGAAAACTGAACATTTGAAAATCACTCAAAGCTGACCACAAAAAGGTTCTGTACTCTAGGATAGATAACTATGATGCTTAATTCAATTTCATATCATGTTTTAACCTCTGAAGTTTCAAACTTCAAAAAGTTTTAAAATCCCTTGGGAGTTATAACTTGAATGTTTTCTCAGGAAGAGTACCTGTGGTAGCTGTGTCAAATTGCCTGTTTCTTTCAGCCTCTTATGATGGTGAAGTCAAGCCAAGAAACTCTTTATAATCATATACCCATACTTCAGAATAAATGAATAGTGAATACTGAAGTTAGTTATATTTATACTGAACCGATACATTTTCTTTCATGTCTGTATTACGGTCACACTCACTGTGCCACAGGACACTTATTCTCATCTCAGTTACAAACATTGTACTTCAGTTGTACATTTGACAACTCTATGGTCAAGAAATGACGGAGAATTTTTTAAAGATTTATTTTACATGATCATGCTTGATCTAATTTCGGAGTAAATATTTTGAGATACCTTTGGTGGAATATCTTCATCTACAGTTTATAGATCTGTTACATGTATATAGTCTCGTCTTTGTTTGTTTGTTTGTTTGAGCCTTTATTTCAACTCGATCTGTAACTGTGTTACATGCTCTAATCGGCCGCTATTTCAGCCGCTTTTCATAGAGGTCGAGCATGGAGGAGTGTCAGGGGGTCATAACATAAATACTACTACTACTTTGTGTCAGTCAAATTCAGCATGATCTCAGATTCCCAAAAATATATAGTTTCAATTCAATTCACTCTTATGTAGCAAGTACCAGGCTAAACAAAATGTACAAGACTTTACAAAAAATTGTCTCCATTGCTCTGTGTGTTGTTTCAGCAAATTGAGATTTCACGGAAGATGTATCAGTTTACTCCAGTGACCTGAAACTCTCAGGGCAAGTCAGGGCAGGCACCTACCATAACTATTATGAGAACTACTACTAAACTAACTAAAATGCGGGTACAAATAAAGAAAATTATCTTAAGGACTTAGTAACAATTCGATTTTGTGGGAAGTTTAGGGACAGCTTGCTTGTGTTTGTTTAATGTATATGAACAGTGTTAGGAGATTTAGATTTCACGCTGTATCACTTACTTACAAGTTACAAAAGTGACCTTTAGATGACCCTTCATACTCCAAGTACATGTATTTCTGATTATAACCTGCACTTGTCCATGTACTGTTGAACAGTTCATAGATTATAACAATAATGTACATGTAAATCGTACATGTATGCGGATTTTTATTTGCTGCATTGACTGTTTTCACATATGGACCCAGTGCAGGTAACATTCTCACCTCACCTCACCTTATAACATATAATACAGGAAAAAGTATTTTGAGCCCTTTATCGGATGGACAATCAGAGATTATGCACACAATGTTATATGAAGTTGTGTTGACAACTAGCCTGGGTTCCAAACCCGAACACACTGCACAAAGTATCTCAGTTTGTGTCTGGTGTGCTATGGATTTGGAACCCAGGCTAGTTGTCAACATGCATGGGAATAATTAAGTTGCAACACAAAAATTTCACGGTAGCTTATCCAGTGGGCTCATTTTCCAGTGTCCCCCTCATGACCTGTAAGGCCAGAACAAGCAGATAATTGTACCTCAGTACACAGGCTCTCCTGAAGAGAGACAAGCTGAACTGAACCAAGCATAAACCAGCACCAACAGAGACTGCATCTAGCCAGATATTAGACACTAAACAAGGACAGCAATAACACAGTCAGACTTTAGATTATTAGAGTTTTAGACATTGGCAAGACTCAAAGTGGGACAAAATAGATTTTGACGACAAAAGTATAACAAAAAGTATATAATAATATTATATAATAGGAATATATATAAATATTGTATATATCATTAGATCCTGAATCTGGTGAAAGTAACTCAAAATGTCTGACTGTTGTCTATCAGCTATTGAAAATCACATTGAAAATCATTGTAGCTAAGAGATGAGGAGAGGCTTGTCAAAATTTATGACTCCGTGGTTTATTATTTGACATTGGTGTATCCTGATGTGGATATAAGGCCACACCGCCTTAATTTTATGGATGACACCCGTGCGCGCATTGATTTTTGACTTCTCAAAACAAAAAAATGTCATCCGAGGCTCTAGCCTCAGCTCTTAAGGCCTGGGTAGTCCATGGTAGCTTGCTCACAAGCGACAATATGAAGCCGGTGGTAACTCTGGAGGATGGCATCCAGGCTACCGAAGCTCCACGACTCAAGACCTCAGTACACACATACGGTGTCGATTCATAAATTCCACAAAGAGCCAGCATGTGCCGGCCTGTCGCATATGTTGCTATGTTCTGCCGCAAATTCACAATATATATACCAACTTTGCCTTTGTAATTGTATTCCTGTTTTTAGTAGCATTTTTAATTTTGGCCGGATTTTTATTTTATTGGCCGCGAGCACTAGTTGGGGGTCTTCACTGGATGTCATCCATAAAATCCATAAAGTCGGTGTGGCCTAAGGGACAAAAAATTTGTATACCAATACTAGCTAACTTGGGTTTTGGTGTGTTTGGAGCTGCAGGGGCTTCAAGTTTAAACCTTGGGCCTCAAGTTTATCTCGGTGGATGTCAAAAAGGCTGACAATCACAAAACAACATGAAAATCCCACCTCCCCCTCCCCCCCAAAGTTCGAAAACACAATGACCAGAACAACAGTCAATCAGAGCACAAACAGGGATTTCCCGCTAATAATATACATCAATATCTCCCACCAAAGCTGACATGGCTGCCGCGTCGTGCCTGAAGTTTAGGGACAAATTTTCAACATGGACAGAATTCAGGGCAGCGCTGGAGGAGTTTTGCACCCACGTCGAGCTGAGCAAGGTGACTAAGCAAAACGGTTGAAACTGAAAACCGCAAGTTCCCGGAAAAAGTTCCCATGTCTACAGAGTGGCAAAGTTTGGCTGCATACATTACGGGAAGGTGCGCTCAAGAGGCTCGGGAATTCTCACATCAGTCTGAGACAGTAGAAATCAATAAACACAAAATATGTATACATAACCCACACCGGGAGTGTCAGTAAGGGACAAAAATTTGTATGTACAAAAAAACT